TTCTATTTGGCTATTATCGAAACCTATGAATTCACATATATAGATCATTTTTTTAATAAGAATATTTATTCATCATAGATTTTGAAGAATACTTTTTTTTTTTTATTTAGTTGCTTTTTTTTAATGATGACTGAAGTTTTGATTTCAGCTTTTATTGTCTGACGGCCTTTTACAGAGGGAAACTCATCTTCTTTTTGTATGCTATGACTTTGTTGCATTTCAGTTCGATCCACAATTAGTTTTGGTCTCATCTGGTTATGATGCAGCCTTTGGATGTCCAGAGGTATGGTTGTAAAATTAAAGGTCACAGGCAGGACTACTTACAAATAACATAGTCTCATAATACAATATAGTAAAATTCCTGTGCATTGAAAATAGTAAACTGTACAATTATTACTTCACAAAGTGTATATGCAATAGGAACATTTTGCTTAATTAAAGTGTTTTCTTAATTGGCTACAAGAACTTATTTTAGAGTTTGTCTATATTTCTGAGATGAGGTATTATGTACAGTATTTACATTAGTCGGACTATTGTCCTCATCTTTGTCGCCATATTTGTCACAACGTTTCGGCCGTTGTACGCTCCGGCCTTCTTCAGGTGGTTGGAATTTCAACTGAACCCTTTATTTCGATCACTGGGGTAGACTGTTCTAATTCCACGTGCCATGTTTTGATGGATGTCAGTTATCAGTTATCTCCTGCTAATTTTCCCTCTGAAAGTTCTCCACTGCCTTAACCAGGAATTGAACTCACCTTCTTTGGGTCTGTCACTGGATCTAACCAACGCCTTTATCCACTGTGCCATGTGTCCTTGAAGAAGGCCGGAGCATACAACAGCCGAAACGTTGTGACAAATATGGCGACAAAGATGAGGACAATAGTCCGACTAATGTAAATGCTGAACTTATTTTAGGTATACATTTTTTTCTAAAAATATTAAAATTTGAAACTAATTCAGTTTTTGTAAACTTACAATGTAACCTTTGCTCAAGTTCTCTGCTAACCTGCTAATGATTATCTTATGTTGCATTCTAATTCTAGATCTTGTTGTTGTGCACCAAAATCTAGGGAAGGAAATGTTGCTCACAAGGTAACACAATGAAAGACAAACACCACATCCAGAAATAAGAATGTGAACTCTGCTTCCTATATTATATGTAGTAATTTTATTCAGGGTTTCATCTATTTGTCCATGTGGACAGGTAGGTGACACATGAAAAAACTTCTGTTATGTCAGCTCCTCCCCCCAACCAACTCATTGCCCATCTAATCCCAACATTGTAGCTGTCAAAACAAAAATGGAGGTTTTGGAACCACCCGATATATCCTATTCTCGACAAGAATGGTCCAGAACTCTCCCATATCCCTAGCATGACTGTTAATATAGAACAGCACCTGGATATACCCTATTTCCGGTTTTGTTGTCACTTGATCTCAGAAAATACTTTTAGTTTCCATTCCCTTTTGGTTAAAGTGGATGCCACTTAGAAGACTGAACTTCAAAAGGAAACATCTGCTGGTTTATCAAACAGAAACACTTCAGATTGAGATAAAACTACTTCTTCCCTTTCTATGTGGGTGTTTATCGTACTAATTTGAGTAATTTATATGGAAGGCTTTAAGAACTATTTTTCCCATTTTTTTTTTTTTTTAAACTGGAGTGTTGATGAAAATTAAAGAAAAGAAAGAAAATTATACCATTCCATAATTACTGACTAGGACTTAAACCTGAATTTGGTCTACAAATGCTTTGGTTCAAATATTGTCATCAAAACAACAAAGACAAATAATTTATCAAATAATGACAATCTTTAATCTTTGGCCTTCATACAACACTAGAAAGGCTGGGGAATGTACCAGCTGGAACATGGTAATCAAAACAACAAAGATGAGGCTAGTAAACTGAATAAGTCATGGAAACTAAGACTGTTAGCATAGTGTTAATTATTCATTACTATTTTACTAATCTTCAACACTTGATTTTAAACAATTTCTTAATTAAGCAATTTTAGCTTGAATATATATAAAATTTACTTTTCAGTTACTAATTTGCACAGGGTAACCTCTAGGTTTTACTAAGCATAGTTCTAGCTGAAATTACTTTCTGGAAGAAAGACAAAAAAAAGTTGTTAGCAGATTTAACTTATAAGATTATGTATATATCTCTGTAAGAAGTCCTGCCAAAATTAATTGGGGTGCATGGAATGATTTCTGCTTTTTAAACTGCTGATCTGTTATTTCCTGTTTACTAACCCCCAGTGGAATGAGTTAAAACTTAAAACCACATTAAAATAAAAACAATGCCTTCCTTTGGTTTAATTATGGTAGGAATTTTTGTTATTGCAATTCAGTAGCTGACCTGCAAATAATGGAAAGTTCTGCTACTGAAAGATGTACATAAATTCAATTTTGGAGGCAAAAGTATTGAAATGTTAAGATTTTTGTTTACCTTCCATGCCTCTTCTTAGAATTTTAAAAATCTGTTCCCTTTTAGCATATTTTCGCAAAAGTTGCAACATTTCAGGTACACTGACGATCCCTATTAATACACAATACATCACTACCAGTTTAGAAATACATCTGTAAGATGACTGTGGCCACATCATCAGTGATGTTGCCCTGGGATTCTTAGAAGTTTTGGGTTTATCCAGCATCAGACTCCTTCACTCAGGTTACCCTGCTGGTGGTGATCAAATACCAACATGGATTTAAAAGAGATTTTTGAACCCTAAAAAAGCACAAATCAGCTTTCCTCCAATCAAATTCATTCACAGGCACCCCACTACCATCAGAATGGGAGAATCTAAATGTCAGGCTTTCCCAGTCCATAAATGGAGAGGATGAACCTGCAAGTGAATTATAGCACACTGAACTTTTCAATAGATTAAACAGGATAAAACATACAATCGATTTCACTTACAAAACAAAAAGCAAACTACACTTTACCATATCAGTTGTATAGAATCGCTTTCTAAGATCAATGGTTAAAAATGGCTTTGAGCGAATGAATTCTGCGGGTCTTGGCAAAGATCATCCTTCTTTGAACATTGCAGATTGGCACTATAGAACAACAAAGAACTGTACCAAAAAATAGAAACCACGTCACTTGAAGACTATCAACAGCAGCAACAACTAAAGTGGATAGCACGTGTAGCTTGAAGAGAAAATGATGACATAATCAAGATGTTGACATTCCACACTACTTCAAGTAAAAAATTAGGAAGGGATCCCCCCCCACACACACACACTACTGGAAAGAGCAATAACAGCTACTGGACTTGAGAAATCTATGAAAAATTGTTTTATGAGAAAGGTTTTATAAAGTTCAGTGGTACTGGCTGCTTGGTCAATGAATGCCAAATAGTTTCTTGTATGGAAACAGCTCATATTACCATTACCATTTCACTGATATTTGTAAATTTAGTGATTTTTTTTCTTTTTCACTATCATATATAACTTTAGTTAAATTACAAATAGATTGCAGTATTCAACTTTTGTTAAATAAAACATGCATTAATCAAAGGGGCAGCAGTCAAAACCTGACAGCCAGCAGCAGCAGTGACACCCTAATCAGCAGTGAAGGTTACATTTAAAGCTCCAGAAAATTGTCCTACAGGACAATGGCCTAGTGTGTAAAAGAATTGGTTTATGAATTTGGTGACATAGTGGTTGTGAGTTTAATCCTTGGGATGAGCAGTGTATACTTGGTCAGTGGAAATGGGCAAGCAATAACTGGACATCATTAAAAAGAACCAGACAATATCTCTAGACATAATCAATGGAATGAGAATAGTCTACCCTCTGTAGATTAAATAAAGGGTTCAATTTGGAATTCCCTGTAGTTACCCAGACCAATATACACCTGAAGAAGGCACAATGGCTGAAACGTTGCGATAAAGACAACAAAGATGAGGAACAGTCTGAATATAGTTTAAATAAAAACATATACATCTAGTATACTGATAGAAGTCACCAGCAATTCCTTTTTTCGACAGCACTGAAACTTATTTAATTTTAGTTCTCCAATTCAGAATTTATAATAGTTAAATATTTGTACGTTTTTACTGGCTTCATTTAAAGATAATGTTAAACATTTTCACTTTGACCCTGAGTGTGTTAGAAGAATAATCAGGACTGAGGATAATATAGTAGCAAAAAAAATGTCTGATAAAATACTATCTGCTGTTAAAGTTGATAATATGTAACAGATTTTTTATTGTTAGTTCTGCCATGGCAGATATATTAATGTGGTTTACTCAAAAGCTCACACCTGCTGATTTCTACTATCACAAAAGCCAGATCAGACCAAAAAGAGAGTGCTGCTGTCATATATAGGCAGAAGCTGCCCATATGTCTTCACTTTCTAATCCCAATAGTCCAAAAGTGTCTTTGCCTCCTTGTGGATAATGAATTATTTTCCATCCTACAACCCCTTTCCCACTGATGAAACTTTACAAGCCTCTTGCTACTCTATTGCTATTTCCATGAAAAATGTTCAGACAAACTATATTGCTTACTCTTACTTTTGTGAATTACTGCGCTTATTTTATAATTTTTTGGAACAGGAAAAGAAAAGGCAAACAAAGATTTTTCATTGACTCCATGCCACACCTTAATCACACTCACCATTTTAATCTTTCACCAAATTTACTAATTATGGTCCAAATTCTTACTTCAAAATTTTTTTGCATTTTAGTTCTGTCCCCAGCTTGTGCTAATCTCATCAGGTTTTGATTCAGCATATGGAGATAATAAGGTATATATATATAAACATATATACATATATATTTTTATCTGTATGCCTGTTATCAGTCTATTGTGAACCACTATTTTTCTTTTATTTACTTTAGATAGATTCCATATTCATTTCAGTGTGACCTTTTGTTATTCTCATGCCTAAAGCCAATAAAGGGTCAGTCTTGTCAATATTCTTTAGTGATTTGATATTATTACTATACGCTCACTGCTCATTTTGCTAGTATGCTCTTCTAGTACTGACATACGATCACTGAAGTTAAGCACCATCAAGCCTAGTCAGTACCTAGATGGGTGACCGCTTGGGAATACCAAGTGCTGTAAGCTTGGATGTGCAGGTTGTGTAATGGATAATAGCTCAAAATTGGAAATCAGAGAGCCAAGTTCCAATTCCAGCTGGGTTCATTATATTCACTTATGTGCAAATACCATTGGGAAAGGTATGAATTCACCTCTTCCCCAACTATGGGTTAATTTAGTAGGACTTGTATCAGTAAATTGTTATTATCTCTAAAAAAATGTTTGCAATTTAAAAATTTAAATAACCTGCAAAAGGTTGATAAACCATAAAAAACAATCAATCAATCTAGTACTGAGTTGGAAGTTCCTTTTGCCCTTAGAACTACTTCAAGTTATTCTTGTCATGGATTCAGCAGTGTTCTAGAAGCACTCTTTTGAAATTAGAGTAGATTTTGTTAATATGGCATCATACAATTCTTCTAGATTAGTTGACGGCACATCCAGGATTTGAATCTCTCTTTCCCCCACATCTTAAAAGTATTGTATGGGATTGAGATCCAGTCACTGTGTAGGCCAGAAAACTCTCTAATGTGTTTCATGAACTAATCTACTGCTATTTGTTATTTATGACACAGTGTCTTGTCCTACTGGAAATTTCCACCAAAGGTTGGCTTCACTGTAGTCATAAATTGTGGTACATGGTCAGACACACTGCATAAGTAGATTGGAGCATTTAAGCAATGTTTTATTAGCACCAAGAGTCCTAGAATGTGCAAGGAAAATATTCCCTATATGATTATACATGAAATAGGCTTATACACAAATATATACGGTATATATATTGTCAGTTATCAGTTGTGCATATATGTATGTTTGTTTATATATATATTTGTGTGTATATATATGTGTGTGTGTATGTATATATATATATATATATATATATATAAATATATATAAAATGAAGTAATATCTTTTATACTTGCATTTCTTTTCTTCTTTGTGCATAATGTAACTATATTAACAACTTTAACCTGCTAACATTTCTCTTATCCCAAACACAACTCACTCTTTTACAAATGGTATTTAAAATTCATCATTGATTTTGGGGTATTTTTCTTTCATCTTAATTCCTTTAAGATAAAAAAAAACCTACTAATCAGAAATTAATGATTGGTAATGTATAACATTAGCCATTTGTAATATGTTAATAAGGATCTCACTCCACTAGTCAATCTTCCAAACCCTTGTTGTATTTAAGTCTTTGATCTTGAAAAGTTTCAGGTAAAGTTGGCTGAAACATCCTCAAGAACAAAGGTGGTTATTTCTAGGAGAGATAAGAGTGACTTTCAAGGCATACAACCAACACTGGAGAAACTATTATATGGAGTTTATTTGTTGAGGGACACAGTTATCAGTTTAACCCTTTCCAGTTCTGTGCTACTGTAGGATACTTAACTATGGCTGTTTGGTAAGTTAGTAGGTATCAGCACATCACAACATATTGCAAAAACAACAGCAATGTCTTAGACTAATGACTGGTAATCATTTCAACAATTTAATCGAGGACTTTTGGTCTCAGGCCTACACACACACACACACACACACACACACACGCATATATATATTATATATTACTTGGGCACCTCAAGTCAATGTAATGGTTAACAAGCTTGTCTCGCTATAACAATTATGACTGCTTAGTAAGTTCGATCCTCACTGGGTGCCCCATACTTTCGGCCTTGTGCCACATCTAAGCTATGCTTAGAAAATCCCTTTAGGGCACCTTGAGGCAGTGTAATGGTTAGCAAGCTTGTCTTATTAGAACATTTACTACTGAGTAATGAGTTTGATCCTCACTGGATGCCCCCTACTTTTGGCCTTGTGCCACATCTAAGCTATGCTTGTAAAATCACTATAATAATTGTGCTTTGGGCACCTCAAGGTGGTGTAATGGTTAGCAAGCTTATCTCACTATACCAATTACAACTGAGTAGTGAGTTTGATCCTCACTGTATGCCCCATGCTTTTGGCCATGTGCCACATCTAAGCTATGTTTGGAAAATCACTATATATATATATATATATTACTTTAAATATTATTTTTAGTGAATACTCATATTTGAGTAGGGGCTCTGATAATTTATTAAACAGTATATATGCCTGCCTTAATAAAAAAAATTGATAAAAATCTGTTGGATTAAAAAAAAATCCATTCTAAAATATATATATAGTGTACAATGAGTGCTGGTGGCAATAAAACAATAATTGATATGAAATAACAGAGTTAAAATTTATATTAAGAATAAACATACATTTGTTCCTTGACATTCAGATCAACTCTGTGTGTTAAGACTTGTTTATTTTATTATTGTTGCCTATAATATTATAATTAATTATATTGTTTGAATTCTTAAGTTTGAAAGATGAAAAATTAAAAAAATTTTTTTAAATAATCTAGTAAAAATACATAGCGTGTTTACATAAATTCCAATTTTTTTTGACTCAAAGAGTACCAACTAAAAACTGTTGTTTATCACTCGATAAACTGATGTCACTTCTAACAGAGTAGGTAGTTTAGGTTGGTTTAGTAGTAATCCTGACTTGATATTATTTTCCCTGTTGTTATTTCGTTGTTGAATGTAGTGGGGCTGATATTAATGACAGAAATTAAAATGCATAAATGTAAAATGATAACAACAATAAAAAGTTGAGAAATGTGTTGACATAAAAAGCAAGAATTTGTTTTTTTTTTATTTTTATGATGTGAATTACAGAATATTGCTAAGGAGTGTGTAAAAATCTTCTCAGTGTGACTTTTGTATAAAAATCAGTGTTTACTTGGCTTGGTTCTGAGAATTTCATTTGTGAGTATGGCATTTGAAATTGTCTGTTTTCAATTTTTACAGAGTGCTGACAAAGCATGAGTTTCTGTACTACTACTACTTGTCTACTCTACTAATATGGGGTACTCTAGTCTATGCTACTCTACTCTATTCTAATGACCCTTTTATGGTGGAAGGGTCGTTTTTATAATGGTGAGGGTAGGATGATGATATATCCTTCTTTTCTATCATCACTGATGACAAAGTTATCTTTAGAATGATAAAATATCCTTATTTTTTTATTATCACTGATGGCAAGCTTATTTTTAGAATGATGAAATATCATTATCATTCTAGACCATAACACACTCACTGGCCGTCATGTGACTTCATTTCAACAAAAGGGAGATAATCGCCCTTTGTATGCCTACAGGCTTTAAAAATTATATTTTGTGTTGAAATAACTTGTATTTTTTTGCAACAATTTAATTGGAAAAATTACATATCTGTTTATCATTATAACAGTTTCAGAAAAGATGAAGGTATACTAATAGTTAAATCTTTTTTATATTGTTTTACTGTTAACAAATTAAGTTTAATTGAAATTTAAAAATCATTTGTAACTTTTCCTTTTAGTAAATGAACTGTACTCTTGAGTCTTGAATAGAAAGGTAGGTTGGAAAATGCTTTAAAAATTTGTTTATGGAATAATAAAATGGAGGACGAGTTGGAATAAACAGATAAATTGCAAAAAAATGTGGAAAATAAAATAAAGTTTGGGACTAGAATAATAGAAAATAGTTTGGAAAAAAACTGAAAATTTAAATAGCCAGCGAGGCCCATTTATTCAGATACAAGAGTAACTGCATAGGAATATGAATGGATTATTACTTAATTTACTATTTCACTATTGCTGAATTTGAAGTTAGAAATAAACCTCAATGAAAATAATTTTGACAGATTGCTTTAAGTTTGAAGAAGTGTCTTCCTATTTTAGATATGTTTAAAACTTATTCCTATTTGATTATATTCTTCAGTCAATATTATCTGTTTATTCCATTCTGTATATCTTATTCATGTTAGTCTGTGTTTATCTATTGCCTATTTGTCTGTCATATTGTAACAGTTACTAAATAAAAGATGTTGTTTTTACAGGGCCAAATGAAAGTGTTGCCGGCTGCCTATGCTCATTTTATACACATGCTGAGTGCTCTGGCTCATGGCAATGTTTGCATTATACTGGAGGTTTAGTATTTTCTTTTTAAATATAATATATAATATTTTTTAAATATAATATATAAATAAATAAAACTCAACACTTATTAAACTATTGTCTATAGACAATAGATGTTTGAACAAATGAATTCCTTCAGATATGCTGCAGTATAAACTAAGCTAAACAACACTGTCAACACACATTATAATAAAAATACATCACAAAAGAGGTCATATTTTATGTTACTATATATCTACACTAGTTTGGAAATAAAACTAAGTACTAGTTACTTTACAAATGTTTGGTTTGGTTTGTTTTGTTTTATGGCATATCAACTTTAATGGGTTATTTTCCAAAAATGTATTGTTGGTAATATTGTTTTGAAAATGTATTGCTAGTAATATTTATCTTCTTCAAAATGTATTGCTGGTAATAATTTTTTGAATAAAAGTATTGCTGGTATTAAAACCTATTTTTATACTTTCATAGTGTTTTGGTGCCTTTTGGCAGGGTGGGGGTTAGCTATTTGCCCATAGCTGGGACTCTGACAGTTGCTACCACCCTGGTCAGAGTGGACCTGGGAACACCAGCAATTAAGGGGTGGTGCTATGCTCCTCAAAACCTCCTGATCAAAGGCCTTGCTGTTGGATGCAGTTCATCATCATATTCAGGATGCGGATGTAGTTTATTGTCATACCCAGGACGGCTTTACAAATGTCATGGACTGGTATTTCACAGTGTCTTAAAAGCATATTTTAATATATTTTCTGTTTATACATTATTTTTATAGATACAAATATTTAAGTAGATGCTCTGTTTATAATAAACAGTATTAACAACATTTATGGCCTAAACGTCCAAGAATTTTCATAGAAAATATGTGTCCTCTATGAAATATGAAATTTCTTGGTCATTCAGGCTGTAAATGTTGTTTAATACTGTTTATTATAAACAGAGCATTTACTTAAATATTTGTATCTATAAAAATAATGTATAAACAGAAAATATATTAAAATAATTCTCAGACAGTCCATTTCATAATATGTA